TTGTAGCCTATAATTTTAAACCAAGTGAAGATATTTTCCAATATGAAGGTAAAATAAAGATGTTTGAATATGTACAAAAGCCAAAATAAGTCATCACCAGCAGACTAGTTTTACAAGAAATGTTAAAGGAAGTCCTTCAGGAAGAAGAAAAATGGTACTAGATGGAAATACAAGTTTACAAGAAGGAAGGAGAACAATGGAAAGACTTACACAGATGGCCACAACAGCTTTATTTTTCCATGGACAGTAGTTTTGGCAGAAGCATTTTGTGCAGGGAAGGCAAAGATATTCAAAGCAAGTGTCTGTTCCAGTATGAAAAAAAAACACTGCCCTTTCCATGATGGAAGTGGTCCAAAGTAATCAATCTGCCACCAGACAGCTGACTGATCACCCCAGGGGATGGTGCCATACTGGAGATTCAGGGTTGGTCTTTGCTGCTGGCAGATTGGGCACTCAGCAATGCTTGCAGCCAGGTTGGTCCTGGTGAGTGAAAGTCCATGTTGCTGAGCCATGCATAACCTCCATACTTTCCACCATGGCCACTTTGTTTATGAGCCCATTGAGCAATGACAGAAGTGGCTGGCAAAAGAGACTGACTGGTATCCGCAGAACAGGTCATTCTATCCCTTTGATTATTAAAATCCTCTTCTGCTGAGGTGACCTTTTGGTGGGCATTCACATGGAACACAAGTATATTCACAGTTTCTGCCCATTCAGAAAGGAATATCCATATATCTCTTCCCCAGGCCTCCTTGTTGCCAATTTTCCAATCATATTTCTTCTAAGTCCTGGACCATCCAGCCAGACCAGTTTTCACAACCCATGAAACAGTATACAATTGCACATCTAGCCGTTTCTCCTTCTAAGCAAAATGAATAACCAGGTGCACTGCTTGAAGTTCTGCCCGCTGGGAGGATTTTCCTTCACCATTATCCTGGGAGGATTTTCCTTCACCATTATCCTGGGAGGATTTTCCTTCACCATTATCCTTCAGAAGTGTCCCAGAAAGGGGCTGCAGTGCTGCAGCTGTCCACTTTCAGATGGTGCCTGCATGTTATGCAGAACCATCTACAACCCAGGCCCAAGTTTTTCTTCCACAGCTAACTGATCATAGGAAAGTTCCATGCAGCCATAGGTGTGGGTGGAGGAGAGAAGCACAAGTGGGGAACGTGGGCATTTGAGCCACTTCCTCATGTAACTTACTTGTGCCCTTAGTGTCTGCTTGAGCCTAATCTCATATATACCACTCTATTTGATGATGGAGTGCTGCTGTGAACATCCAGATTTATGGTTTAATGTTTAACCTTGCTTATGATGAGCAGCTCAAGTTGCATAGTAACTGGATTGGCCATGATTAAACATTCAGTCTCTACTAAGGCCCAGTAGCAATCCAAAAGCCATTTCTCAATAGGAGAGTAGTTATTTGCAGAGGATGGCATGCTGTGCTCCAAAATCCTAAAGATCCGTGTTGTGATTAACCTATAGGGACCTGCCAAAGGCTCCAAATAGCATCTCTATCTGCCAAGCACATTTCAAGCACCACTGAATCTGCAGAATCATATATTCCAAGTGGCAGTGCAGCTTTCACAACACCCTGGACCTGTTGCAGAACCTTTTCTTGTTCTGGACTCTACTCAAACTAGTAGCTTTTCAATTGACAGGAGCAGCACAACCAAAGGAGGAATATGTTGCCTCCAAAACCAAAGAGTCCACTAGGCACGGTGCTTCTTTTCTCGGTTGTAGTAGAGGCCACGTGCAATGATTTATCCTTCACCTTAGAAGGGATATCTTGATATCTCCACACCACAAGACCCCTAGAAATTTCATTGAAGTGGAAGACCCTGGAATTTTTTTGATTTATTTCCTTATTTCCTACCTCTGATACACAAATGTTTCACCAGAAAGTTTAATACATTTGCTATTTCTTATTTATTAGTTCCAATCAGCATACCTTCATTAATGTGATGAACCAGTATTAACGTTTTGTACAATGGAAAGACAATCAAGGCTCTTGCTGACTACATTTTGACATAGGGTTGGAGAGTTGATATATCCTTGAGTTAGTACAGCAAAGGTGTATTGCTGGCCTTGCCAGCTAAAAGCAAACTGCTTCTGGTGGTATTTAGTAACAGGTATTGAGGAAAAGGAGCCTTGGTGGTGCCGTAGTGAAGAGCTTGGCTGCTAACTAAAAGACTGGCAGTTCAAAATCACCAGCCACTCCTTGGAAACCTTATAGGACAGTTCTGTCTGTCCTATAGGGTCACTATGAGTTGGAATCGACTCAACGGCAATGGGTTTGGTTTGGTTTTTTTGAGGGGAAAAAAATTGCCAGATCAATAGTTGCATACTAGGTACTATGGAATGTGTTAATCTTCTGAAGCATTGAAACTGCATCTTGGACATCAGCTGCAGCTGGAGTCAATCTCATTACAAGATTTGTGTCTGAAGCCACTCTCTTCTGAGATATAAAAAGAGAAGCAAGTAGAAAGACATGGGGACCTCATACCACCAAGAAACCAGAGCCAGAAGAATAGCACGTCCTTTGGACCTGGGGTCGCTGTGCTGAGAAGCTCCTTGATCAGGGGAAGATTGATGACAAGGACCTTCCTCCAGAGCTGACAGAGAGAGAAAGCCTTCCCCTGGAGCTGATGCCCTGAATTTGGACTTGTAGACTATTAGACTGTTAGAGAAAAGATTTCTCTTTGTTAAAGCCATCCACTTGTGGTATTTCTGTTATAGCAGCTATTAGATGACTAAGACAGTACCTATGGAGACACAAAGAATTACAGGATACATCTCCTGACTTCTGGGAGGTTTTAAACTGGTTATTCTCTTAATTCTTCATATCACATAATTAGCACTTTATTATATATTCTAATTCTCTAGTTTGACTTATGTTTAGGCCATAACTTTGAGGATTAAACAAGAAACATGAGTGACTATTTGTTCCAGACACTGTGCTAGGCCCTATGAGCTTTTACACAGATTAAGGGCATGGTTCCTTCCCCTGAGGCATTCCCAGTGTAGCAGATAGAAAGCAAAATCCACAGGACCAAGCATACTAAGCACCAACCAGACATTCAATAAATACTTGGATATGATTGATTCATCTCATTAGTTTGCTTATGCTATAATATACCATTTGATATCTCAAGAGTTCTTTCTAAGTACACATTGTTGCCCCATAAGTTAGTGGAAATTTTCTAGGCTCTTGGGGCAAAAGATAAAAGAATATAAGTTGAACTGTATGAATCAGAATCCCAGACCTAGAATGACTTGAACCAGATCAAAGTTTATTTACCACATGTAAAAGCCAAGGCTTTTACTGGTCTTTTGCTGGCATTCCACATTTAGGCAACAGTTTTTGTTAATCTTGTTGCTTCTCCATCTCTATGGTGTTACCCTCACCCCCTGGTCCCTACATGGCTCAACAGTAAATCTGAAGGCCAGCCAGTGTGAAAACGTAAAAGGGAAGAAGCACAATTCCCTCCCTAACGTTTCATATGTTCCTTCTGCTCACATACTATTGGCAAGAACTTGGTCAGTTGGCCTCATTTAGCTATAAGGGAGCCTTGGAAATGTAGTCTTAATTTTTGGCAGTCATGTGCCTACCTAAACATTCTATTACTATGAGAGAAGGAAGCATAAACGTGTGAGACAATTAACAGTCTATCACTATACAGAAACGAAGCTCATCTTGTGATGAACCAGAGCAAAGCAAGTGGTTACTTTTCATCAATTTCTTGGTAGAAGGCACTGCCTTATCTAATACTCATAAATCACATACTTTAAAGTGTATGAATTATGTAAGTGTGCAAAGAATGCTTTCTTACTGGATTAGGAAAATGCTATTAATATCTGTAATGAGGAAGGCATTGCGCTTTCCTAAAGAGATGTTTAAAGCAAAACAAAAACACCTTTAATGTTCTTTTAAAGTGCTTTGATCACGAATTCCACTTCGCCCGTGAGCTCACACGCTCCAATATCCTTGATTAAAACATCAGTCCTATATAAATAAGATCTGCACAGTATTGAAAAGTGAACTGGAAGGATATATAGGTTTTGCAGAGAATATTTCTACATACATATTTGTATGTGTTGCAAATATATCCATGTGTACAGTAGAGCACACAGGGGACAAAGTTATGAAAACTTCTTAGTCATACCCAAACACCTTGAGGGACTGGGTCACTGGGCTTGAAAGCTTAGCACCGTAGTCACAGGGGATGTCTAGGTCAATTGACACCTCCAGAAAAATCAGCATACACCTGTGACTACAGCATAGCTTAGAAAACCACAGCAAGTTTATTCATTTGCAAGAAAAACAAAGCATTATTACATGCTTGTTTTCTGAGGTTGCCGATACAAGCTTTCCAAAGTGTTTAAATAAAACCAATAATATAACTAGACGTTACATTTTAAAGACCCCTACTGCTATTTATCAACTTTAAAAATATTTTCAACTGAAACCAATTATGTACGTACATAGATACATTATATGTAAATTACCTACAGTCATTTGAGAAATAGTTAGATGATATTAACACTAAACTTTATCATTTAAAATTCTATATGGTTGTCATGGATTGAATTGTGTCCCCCAAAAATATCTGTCAACTTGGCTAGGTCATGATTCCCAGTACTGTATGATTGTCTACCATTTTGTCATCTGATGTGATTTCCCTGTGTTGTAAATCCTATCACTATGATGTAATGAGATGGATTAGTGGCAGTTGATGAGATCTACAAGATTAGATAGTATCTTAAGCCAATCTCTTTTGAGATAAAAAAGAAAGAAGCGAGCAGAGAGACACGGGGACCTCATACCACCAAGAAAGCAGTGCCAGGAGCAGAACGTGTCCTTTGGACCTGAGGTTCCTGCATGGAGAAGCTCTCAGTCCCGGGGAAGACTGATGACAAGGACCTTCCTCCAGAGCCAACAGAGAAAGCCTTCCCCTGGAGCTGACGCCCTGAATTTGAACTTGTAGCCTACTAGACTGTCAGAGAACAAATTTCTTTGTTAAAGCCATCCACTTGTGGTATTTCTGTTATAGCAGCACTAGATATCTAAGACAATGGTAAAGCTGATAAGGCCTTAAATTTAATTATTTTTTGGGAATGTTTTCTTAAGAAATAGTAAGCAGGATAAAAAATACTTTATAGATTGGTATATCTTAGAACTGGAAGGGATTTTAGGTAATCACCTGGCTCAGCCAACTCCTTAAGGCAAATAAAGAGTTATTACCAGTTTTTAGTTCAAATAACCTGACCTGTAGGTGCTAAATGACTCACCCAAGGCCAGATAGCTATTAAGGTTCTCCCCTTCCTCCAAAAACAAAAAACAAAAAACCCTATGTACATAGATCTCAAACTGATTCCACATGTAATCATAAGATAGTCAAGTGCAAGAAAATTTACTGATAGACAACATTCCAGGATCCACTGTGCTTATTTATCAAGATAAATTAAGTTTGTGTAATAAAAATACAAAGCTTCTTGGCTTCAGTTTTAATTAGTGAATCATAGTCCATGAACAATAAACATCAATATCAATAAACTGCTGGATCAGCTAAGTTAAATGCATCCAGTTTGATGCAAAAAGCTTATTATATTCAGAGCCATATTTACAGAAGAAAGGGAAGGAATAGAAATAGGCAAAATATAATTCACAGAAAGCTGTTGTATTTGTACGTAGAGCATTTTGTGTTTTATGTCTCTATATTCAACTTTAAAGTGCTAACCCAGGGGACGCTCTAAAGGGTTCTAAGCCTCAGACAGAAGATGGCTCCATAGAAGGTGTCTTTCAACAGTCAGGGCACTTGAACACATTCTGTGGAAATGCTTGGCTATAGGAATTGGGTCTGATGGAGATACAGCTAGCCCACAGTGACAAAGTGCAAACATATCTGACAGAAGGCAACATGGGTCACATTAAAATATCACCAGCTTGCCAGGGTGTGGAAGTGGGAGAGAGTGGAAGGGTTTCCAGTTGAAATAGAAGATTTTGCTGCACACCTGATGCTTTCTGAATACGGCAAATCTTCAAGGGGATTTGGTAGTGATGTAGTTAGAAATATGTTCCAAGAACAGGTTTAACATACCAGGCAGAAAAGAAACCACCTCTGTCTCAAGGGAATACAACCCATCTTAAATTGATGCATCTATCACTCAGAAGACAGTACAACGGTTTAGGTAAAATTAAAATGTCCTATGTCTAATTTTCTGCCACATGACATGCTAATACAAAAGAAATCTGGGAAAACTGTACAAGAAGTTGTGGGTTTAGATATGTCAAACAATATCGAATCTAATAAAATGCGTCACCTGCCAGGAGTAACTACAATTAATTACAATTATTTCTAATTAGACTTAAAACAGTCTGGAGGACCTTCTCTCTAGAAGGGCTGGCATCAACCACATGGCAGCTGGGGTTCTCCATCCGCTGGTAGGACACTTCTACCCTGGAGAACAGGCAGAAAGAAAATAATTGACCTCCTTTGATAAATAGTGATTTATGCCCAAGTTCTTTTTTCTACCATAATATAATAGTTTAGCTGGAGTAAAGGTCCCATCTGATTCATCTCAGTGCTCCCCCCAGCAACTAGCTTTGCCCACAGAAGACATCTGATATATTTTGTTCAATAAGTAAATTAATAATAATGTTTAATAGCTCGCATTTACTGACTGTCTATTATCTGCTAAGCATTGGGCTCTATATGATTCTTCTCATTCAATACTGAGAGCAACCTTAAGAAGGGAACTATTATTGTCATTTCCATTTGACAGGAGAAGCTTCCAAGTCTCAGAGAGGTTAAATAATTTCCTCAAAGGGTAAATCCAGCCCTGATCTTTCTCCCCAGTCTGTGCACTAAACAATTTTCATATAAGTTGAATGTCATTACTATATATGTTGTTCTCACTTATGGCTGTTGAAAGCTTTCCTTCAACACTTAATAGCTATATGAACTTGGCACATTTTTTAACCTCTCCTCTCTGTGCCTAGGTTTTCTCATCTGTAAAATGGGGACTGAAATGGTGCCTTCCTTGCATGTTTGCAACGAATTTAACTGAGTTAATACAAGTAAATTGCTTAACATGGCATCTTTATACACAGTGAAATTTTCATTTTTATTATTTCTCTTATCTGTCCTTTGTTCATTTATATGATTAAGAGCTCAGCTACTAACCAAAAGGTCGGCAGTTCGAATCCAGCAGATGCTCCTTGGAAACCCTATGGGGCAGTTCTACTCTATCCAATAGGGTCGCTGTGAGTCAGAATTGACTTGAAGGCAATGGGTACTTATATATTCTAAATAGTACAATGGAACAGATTCATACTCAGCCACAAAGCGGTAAGACTTCCCAGCCTTTTTTCTGCTATTGTGCTGCAGAGCTTTCTAATGAAAACAAAAGCATCACCATAAATATTAGAAAGATCTTGATTTTCATTCCAGTTTTACTACTTAACAGCTATGTGAATGTAGACAAATTATTTAATCCTCTGAGTCTCAGTTTTGTAAACTGTAAAATATGGTAATGTTTTCTTCAGAAGCATGGAAAGATTACAGAACATCATAAGTAAAATGCCTGGCACACAGCAAGTACCTAAATAGGTGAAAGTTACTACGAATTTGTTATAGGCGACTCCATGCCCAGTGGCATTGCCCACTGTTTGACAATTGAGGAAACTGAGATTAAGAGACATTCGGTGTCTTATCCAGGTTTCACACTGTTCCTGGCACAGCGAGGATTAGAAATAAGATCTGATTCCCAGTCAAATATCCTATCACTTAAAAATAACAAGGCTGTAACTCAGTGGTAACAACCCCAGTTGAAGAAGCTGAAATAATTTAGAGGACACTGCCTCTAGCATACAAAAAATAGGATCATGGTCATTTTCTTACCACTCCTAAAGCCAATGCTGATCCTGGCTCACTACCCTGACCAGGACACCCTGCTACCCATACTGCATCGTGGACACGTACTTTTGACGAAATACATTGTTGGCCTCAAGTTCAACTTCTTCTCTGGTCTTCTCCATCCCCCGGCCTGCGATCCTCCGCATTCTCTCCTCAGGACTCACGGTGAGCAGCAGGACCAAGTCTGGCTTGAGCAGGTCCTTTGGCCACTGGTATATATGGTGATGGGCTGGGGGCAGGTGCTGGAGACCACCACTTATCTCAGTGGCTAAGGCGTAAGTGGCTGTGCTGTGCCAGTACCTGGCATGAGAAGAAAAGGAAGAGTGAGTTCTCCACCTCCAGAAAACATCAAGTAGGACCTGAAAGTCAGCTGCTGACAACAATGAAATCAGGGCTGGCTCTGCTGAAGTTTTCTTAGTGTACAGATAAACTAAAAACAACAAGAATACTGATATTTGGGCTTTTCTACAAAGCTACACTTATTCAATTAAAATTATCATTTATTGTAAGATTATGCCTTCACACTTTTTTGGCCTTGTAACATGCCTTCCTCTATCAAATGATGATAGGTGATAAATTTGTTTGGTAGTGCATTTGTTTTTAAGGTTCTGTCTTGGCCAAACAAAAATCTGGCAAGTCCATGTCAGTCCCTAAATTGTCATAAAACTGAACTTGCCAATGAAATTCAAATGTCAGGAACCCTGGACTAGAAGGCCTCTTTGCCTTTTTCAACTCTTCAGTCATTTGATTATGCCTTGGTATCAGGTAGGATGACCCTGGTATCAGGTTCACCATGAAAGTCCTCCCTAAGGAAAGTTAGTCACTCTTTTGGTTGGCTAGTTTTAAAAATGCTTTTGGGGAAGAAAAAGAAAATCATAAAAACATGAAGAAAATAAAAATCAGTCTTCTATTTTAAAATATCCAACGGCTTTCCACTGCTTATAGGGAAATGTCCACGCTCCTTGGTAAGACTCAGAACCCCAGTCACAATCCGTACCTAGGCACGCTTACTCACTCATGTCTTTCTTCATACTTTTTCTTCTATCTACAGTAATGTTCTCAGCCAGAAAAATTCCTATTCATCCTTCAGAGTCCAATTCATAAGACGCCCCAAAACAGAATTAATTATTTCTTCTTCTGTACTCTCAAACTCTAGTATACATGACTGTATCAAAGAACTTTTTGGAGTATATTACAGCTAATTATTTGTGAGTTTGGATATCTTTTTTCTCCTCTACTATCTAATTAATTCCTTGAGTAGGAAATGCTTTTTAGTCATTTATTCATCCCATAATAGGCAGGCAATAAATTCTCTTTGGATGCATGGGTGAATAAAAGAATGAATGACTATAATTAGAACTATTTTATTTAGGGGCATAGCATATTATACTCTTGCCCTATTCATGTCATATTTTAATTTTAAGTGACTACATACAGACTCAAAATCTAAAAGCAAAGGACTAACTAACACTATCATCTACAACAAATACTTATAATTGTAAACATCCCAATGCAGAGAGGTGTCCATGGTCTCAATTTGTCTGTATTTTCAATTTAGCAAGTTTCTCTTCTTTGAAATCCTAGATTCATAATCATTTAAGACTTGAACTATGTTTCACAGTGAAAAGGACATACTAATAAATTTACTGTGTAATTCGAGCTTTGTATTGTTTTAGCAGAGTGACATTTCATATCACAGGAAGTATGTATGGTATAAAAAGAGAAGCGAGCTGGATCCTACTTCTGCCACCTATTTGCTTTGTGGACGTAGGGAAGTCAGTTAAGCCAATATAGTCTCAGTTTTCTCATCTAGAAAATGGAAATCATTAAAGCTTTGTTTTCCTTCCATACTTGCTGCAAGAACAAACAAGTGCTTTAAAAACTGTCACTATAAGACATTATATCATTCTTATTGGACATAGGTTATAAGTAAAGATGAAATGTATCAAATTATGATAACACATTACTGACAGTTCTGAAAAGGACAAAAGTAAAAATTAAATTAATTTGGAAGTTGGTCTATCCTAATACCAACCATCCTGCAAAGCCCTTATCCATCTCTAAAAGTCTGCTCTCAGAGCTTTAGGCCACTGTAGCTGCTTGCTCCTTTGAATTCTGCCTGGACACATTCCTATGTATCACTTACCTCACTCCTATCACCTACAAACTTGTATTTTCACTGTCCCTATCAGATGCATCTTGTCTTCTAAGCTCAATCACTACATCCAGGGTCCAGGCATTTTCTTCCAGGCTTTCTTTTCCAATGTCTACAAATTGCACTGTGCTCTGCCCATGCTCAATTTCCACTGAATTAAATACTCAGCTGCAAGTATGGAGACTGGTATCATCTTAGTTTAAAAAGTCTTTTTTTTTTTTATTTTAGAAAAACTATCAGCAAGAATAGATTTTTTTTTAAAGGCAATGGGGTGATTAAGTTGCCAACCTTAACCACAGTCTCCATCAAAGATTACTGTCTCCCTTATGTTTTCAGCCAGATGATGGTATTGTCTAAAATGGATTTCATTAAAATCTTTCAACACGAACAAAAACCACCCAGACAACAAATAACAGCTCTTTTCTTTTCATCTGACAAGGTGATATTGTCTCTCTTTAAAGAACTAAATTGCAGACAACTCACAGGCAGAAAGCAGAAAAATGAAGGGAAGAATCAGGGTGTGTTTTCTATAGTTAGAGTTCTCTCATTGACAACACTGCTGCTCATTTTAAATAATCACACCCTTTGGCCACCAATTTCTGACTCTTTTCACTGTTTAGTATTCTCCAATCCTGCCATCAGGGAAATCACATTAGTTCAAATCGAAAGCAATTTAGTGACACATTATGCATAGCTTACATAATAATGCTTTATATTTTAATAGAGATTTGCTGTTTTCAAAGCACTTTCACGTGTTATCAACTCATTTGATACTCATCACAAGTCTTCATAGCAAGCAGGGTAGGGGTTATGGATATTCCCATTTAACAGATTAGAAAACTGAGAGACAGAGAGAATAAGGGACCTGCCTACATAGAGAGGGTAGTGCCAGCATCAATATTTTTGGGCATGTTACAAATCATGTGCTTCATAAAGTCACTCCACTAGGAGACTTTTAGTCTTTCTCCTTGAAATAAAGAGCACTATATCAAAGAAATTCTCAAATATGGTAGCATGGGGCACTTTAACAATAGGGCAAAAGCATTACCCAAGCAAAGATGTCTCACAAAGGAAGGTGATTTCTTATTCGTCTCAGTTCACTCTAGAATTCTTTATAACTTGTTAACTTTGAAAAAAAAAAAAAAAGAAACTGTCTTGTCATCCTCATTGCCATCTCGAAGTTAAAACCACTTACCGGCCATCTGGAGCCCTGGTCGCGCACTGGTTAAGAGCTTGGCTGCTAACCAAATGGTCGGCAGTTTGAATCCGTTAGCGGGTCCTTGGAAACCCTATGGGGAAGTTCTGCGCTGTCCTATAGGGTCGCTATGACCGGAATTGACTCGATGGCAACAAGTTTACTGGCCATCTATAGCTTAGACTACAGCAATAACCTTCTAACTAATTTTTTTGTTTTCATTCTTTCCCCCACCTCTGCCCACATTGTATTCTCTATACACAGTCTGAACGATATCTTTACAGAATATTCCAGATATACAGTAAAGTATACAGAGAAAGAAGTAGAAGTTCTGTTTCCAGATATTGCAAATTAACTTTTAACTGATGAATTTACCCACCCTGAACAAGTAGAAAAGCTATTTAAAATTAAAGACTGACAATATGATATATTGACAAGGATATGAGTCAAACGGAATTCCCAAACACTTCTAGGGGAGGGGACTGTAAATGGTTTCAACCACTTTAGAAAACTTTATGCAATAAAGCTGAAGCTGAACATATGTGCATCCCATAATCCCACAATTCCACTCCTGGGAACCTATGCAACAGGAACACATGCATATGTGCACCAAAAAATATGTAAAGAATATTCACAGCTACACAAATGAATCTCAAAACCATAATGTGGTATGAAAGACGTTAGATGCACATAACACTTAATGTATAAGTGCATTTATAAACTGCCTTAAAACAGGCAAAACTAGTCTATGCTGATAGAAGTTTTGACAGTAATTATCATTGGGGAGGAGAGTGGGTAGTGACTGGGTGTAGGTTACTTGGATGTGTACACTTCTTGAAATGTCTTGAGATCTATATTTACGATTAATATTCTTTTCTTTATATTATCATACTTCAATATAATTTCTTATTTTTCCAAAAATAAGTCAACACTGCATAGAGAACAATACAATGGACACTCAAGTAATGTTAAATAATCCAAGTCTAATTGAAGTCCATCCGTACTACTTGTCAATTGCATTTCTCTCTACTTCGTAGAGGATAGCACTCTTAAACTTGGTGTTCAACATCCTTGCATAGCTCTATACATTGTCTTTTGTATTACTTTGCATGTATCTTACTGAAAATCTCTTTGCAACTTTTTTTCACTCAATGTTATGTTTTTTATAATTTATGCACACTGATGCATTTGACTTGTTTTTTACTGTTGTATGGTACTCTGTTTTATAACTATGCCAGTATTTATTTATCCTTTCTCCAGTTGGCTTTCTAAATCTTTCAGTATTATAAACTTCCGTGTGTGTTTTTTCAGTAGGTGGAAGCAATCCTCCACTTCACCGCATGTTCCCAAACGCTCCCCACCAGGTGGTTGTGCCAGTAACTATGTCCTGTCAGCAGTACATGAGGGTTCCAATCACTCCATAGCATCTCCAACCCTGGGGAGTCCAAACTATTGCGTTAGTTTTTACCAACATGAGGGGAGCAAAATAGAATCTCTTTGTGGTTTCGATTTTTGCATCCCTGATTAGTAGTCATTTTAAGTTTATTATGACGTGCTTGTCATATCCTTTGTCCATTTTCAGTGTTTTTTTTTAAACTATTTTTTATGCGTGAAATTTTAAAAATGTAAATCTGTTTACGTCACCCTATTACTTTAAACCCTCCAATGGATTCCCGTTGAACTCAGATTTAAAATCCACTCGACCATGGCCTATAGGATCCTACATGATCCGTCCCCGGCCTTTCTCGTCTACCATTTTGGAATATATTAATGTCTCTCTGCCTTTGCTCTTGCTGATCCCTCTATCCACGGTGCTTCCCTTTTCCCCTGAGTTTTCACATGTTCTAGATTTCACACGGTGTTTTAGAGTGAGATCAGTGGTCTCTTCTCAGAGAGGCCTTCCTAAACCACATCTATGGGGCTTCAGCCATTCTCTATGCCACTTACTGTCTTCATAGTATTTATCATTCTCATTTACCACAGAATACACTGAAATAAGGAAAGTCTTTGGCATATAGTAGATGTCCAATAAATGTTGATACGTCAATGAACTGAAAGTATAGATTTGTGAAGCAAAGAGACTTTGGTTAATATGTGTGATACGTTATTTCTAGCTCAGTCACATTGACAAGTTACTTAACCTCTCTAAGACCTGTATGTCTTATCAGTAAATTGGGGATAATATTTACTGTCCACTTAGCAAAGCTACTGTTCTGAGGATTAGTGTAATGTAGGTAATGCTGTCAGAAAAATGCCAAGCAATGCTGTAGGTAATTAATAAACCATAGACATTCCTATTATTATCATAATGCAGTTTAACTTAGTGGACACAATTGTGCATTTGCATACAGGTGTACATACAAAAACACACCTATATGTTAGGTGCAAGGAAGAAAATAACTAATTGAAGGCCACCTAATACTTACCTGTCTACAACCACAGGAGACTGGGTAGATTCTTTAGCTATTTCAGAAGCCACAATATAATTGCCCAAAGAGTAAAAAGCTCTTCTTATGATAGTTGGTTCATCATCAAAGATTTTCCTCCACTGGGCAACACAAGAAGGAGGTGACTTTAAGAGGACAGCCTTCAGTGAATCCGAAACAGACTGGGTCACTGTGGTTTTACCTGCAGATCATACACAAGATGTCGAATATCTTAGTCAAGGCCACCATATTAATCCTCAAAGTTAATATTAACCTAGAGCATAGAAGTTTTCAACTCAGGAAATTACAAGAGTTGATTGAACAATACAATGCTTTATAAAATGTTGCAGACCCATGAGAACTTCGGTTTCCTCTGTTTGGTGTTAGAATACTTTGAAGAAAAACAAAACGGTCCTCTTTTTTCAAAGTAAAGATAAATTGTGGTATCTGGAGCTCCAGGCCCTCTATTATAAGCTCTGCCTCATCTTTCCTCATTCTCTTAGCTTCTCTGTATATGCTGCTCTTATTCCTGGCCACAAGGTTTTATCACTCCCTATCCATCCTTGGACATTCTCTCATATTCTATCTATATGCAATAGATCTTTAAGATGTAACCCAAGAACGGCACCCCCACTGAAGCAGTTACTATTTTTGCCCCACCTCCCTACCTAGTTCTTCATATCTTGCTTCCACTTCTCTTCAATTTCTTTCCAGTTGCCAACCCTGGTTCTATCACTCTATCCTGTTCTTGCCACTTCGGACTTGACCTTCAGAGCCTGTGTATCTGGCTTTGGGCTCCAGGTTCTCCCTCAAAAGCAGGGTTCAGATTTCCCTATTTTCTGACCCCCCTCTGTACACCCTCTGGTGTGTACTTGCCATAGTCATCTCTCAGGACTCAGCTCATACTTCTTTGCTGCCCCCTGCAGCATAGGAGGGGTAGCGCAGGGAGTACAGTCTACTACAGGACACTGTTCTCTCCCTTCTCTGAGTTTAGGTGTCTTTTTTTTCCCTCTATTACACAGTGAACACTTTATTATCAATTGCTTATTTCCTTTATTTTTCTTGAGTTCTCAAAACAGATCGTAAGAGTAGCTGTCATTGCTCAGTGTCTACTATGAGTCATGCACTCAACACAATATATCGCGCTTGTAATTTTCACAATGACACTACAAAATAGTTATTAACTTATCATTTTACAGATGAAGAAATTAAGCATTAGAGAAGTTAACAAATTTACCCAAAAAGGCCCTGATAATAGGGACTGAAACCAGAATTCAGACATGAGAGCTGGAATCAATGGCTCTTATTCTTTTCACTACTCCTTGATGTATCTTTGTAAAGTTTGTATATATGCATGTGTACATCGTGGTTAATTTTTTTTTTTTATTATTTCTTTTGTAACCCCACAGAATCTAAACTAGCCGTAGGTACAAAATAAATGATCAGCCACACACACTGGCTAAAGGATTAACACTGTTAAAAATCCCTCTGTGGCTTAAAAAAGAAAAAAAAAATTACTGGGCTATGGTACAACTCATACAATAAGGTGATGCTAGCTACTCTACTGTGAAGTCCAAGGGCATGGCCTTTACTACTTGATCATTCAGATAAATCTAGGACAGTCAAGATGAGTTATCTACCTGTATCACGTCTACCTACTTGACGTACACAAATGGTCTCTACACAGAAATTGCCTTTTACATTATTAAAAATAAAAGCCTGCACCTCCTCAAACTGACATGCAAAGGGGAAACACCTTACGGTGGACCACATGAATACTGTTGTTCTCCAAGGTCAACCTTCTCCTTGGGTGTCTCATGCTGCCTTCACAACAACTGTTCTCCCTCTTTGTACGTTGATTGAGTGTATTTTGATATCTATTTGGCAGCTCAGAATCTTTTTTTTTCCTCCCACTTCCCAGTTTTTCCAAGTTTTGTTCCAAAAGGGGCCTCTGATGGCTTGTAGATCCCAGATACACCAGGTTAGCTGGAGTCTCCGTATCTCTGCCCACACTGTTTCTTCTGTCTGAAGGACCCTTCCTACTTCTCATCACCTAAGCAACTCCTACCCATAGTTAAAGCACAACCCAGGTGTCATCTTCTCCAGAAACTATCCCCGGCCACACATTCCATCCGCCACCTCTCCCCCACTAAAGCTAGACTAAGTGCTCCCTATGTTCTGCCACAGCACAGAAGGTCCTACTCTCCCATAGCTTGCATCACTTTATACTAAAGTTATTTGTAAGAGAGCAAGTGCTGTATCTGATTCTTCTTTATACCCCCATTGCCTGCCTATAGTGCCTGGCATATAGTAGAGGCTCACGTAAGGCTTATTATATGAACTCTGTGTCACATTTTGTTTTGCAAGACCTGTCTATTTCTGCAACCGGTCAGTTCATACCATTGCCTATAACTTAAGAATAATATTCTCTTACCCGTGGCATCCAGTCCTTCTATGACAATAACTGGGAACTTTCCTTTCTGGACCTGCTTTGGGCATTGGTCGACCAGGTCAAGCACCGCTTGGACTTCAGGAATAAAGGATGTGCACTGTAAAACAACATCCATCTGTCATGGTTTGAATTATGTCCCCCAAAAAATGTGTATATCAGTTTGGCTGGACCATGATTCCTGGTACTGTGTGATTTTCCTATATGTTGTAAATCCTGCCTCTATGATGTTAATGAGGGAGGATGGGTGGCAGTTGTGTTAGTAAGGCAAGACCTGATCTACAAGACTGCTCTGTGTCCTGAGGCAATCTCTTGAGATATAAAAGACAGAAGTGAGCAGTGAGAGGGGGACCTCATACTATCAAGAAAGCAGTGCCAGGAGCAGAGCGCGTCCTTTGGACCGAGGTCCCTAAGCCGAGAAGCTCCTAGTCCCGGAGAACACTGATGAGAAGGCCGAGAGAGAGAAAGCTTTCCCCTGGAGCTGACACCCTGAATTGGGACTTTTAGCCTACTTGATTATGAAGAAATAAATTTCTCTTTGTTAAAGCCATCCACTTGTGGTATTTCTGTTGTAGCAGCACTAGAAGACTAAGACACCATCCATCAACAATTAAATCATGGAGAATATTCTGAACCCAAACCAAACCAAACTCATTGCCATTGAGTTGATTCCGAATCATAGCAACCCCATAGGACAGAAAAGAACTGCCCCATAGGGTTTCTAAAAGCAGCAAATGGATTCAAACTGTCGACCTTCTGGTTAGCAGCTGTAGCTCTTAACTACTGTGCCACCAGAGCGCCAATAAATTAGTGAGGACACAATTATCTAATGCTAAAAAGGCATAAGTTATATTTAGCACCATGCCAGGCATGTAGATAACATAGTATTTGGAAGAGGGAAGAAGCTAAAAACCTTTATTTTATAATGGTAGCTGAGGCTGAAAAGGGCAACTTCATCTGGATCGCTCAGCCTGCAGCCCTCACTGACCAGCTCCCAGTATAAGAGCAAGGCCAGAGAAGCATGCATAATTGCAGCGCGGTGTAACACAGGCAGCACTGGACCTACAGGGCCCTGCCGGGAGCAGTGATTTACGAACGTGAGAAATTAGCTATCCTACAGGCTCCGTAGGAGCCCCGATGGCACAGTGGTTAAAAAGCTCTGCTGCTAAGCAAAAGGTCGGCAGTTTGAATCCACCAGCTGCTCCCTGGAAACCCTATGCAGCAGATCTACTCTGTCCTACAGGGTTGCTATGAGTCACAACTGACTCGACGGATGGCAATGAGTTTTTACAGGCTCCATAGACAGTTGTCTGCATCTTAGCCCTCCCTAACCCCGCAGGGGGGCTGAGAAGAGTGCCAAGCACCACAATCACAAAGCCAGCATAGCAGTATCTTCCTGGGAATTAAAAGTTCTTAACGGTGCATTACCTCACTGCATACTCACAGCATCTCCATAATTGTGAGGCCCAGACATTTATTTATCGATGTGCTTACTTGGAGCCAAGCAATATTCTAAGTGCTTTGCAGGCATTAACTTGGGCAATCCTCAGAATAACTCTGAGAGGGTGGTACTATTGTTACCCACAGACACAGCATACAGATTAAGGAAATGGAGGCAAAGATTGACTGTTCAAGAAACTTGCTGCATGTGATGTAGTTTATGACACAGCTTAACCCCACGGTTGACATTCACACCCAGAGAGAGGAACTGGCCATCTCATCGCTCCCCAGAACACTTGCAAAATTTACCTAAGATCCACGGTGCATCCTCAGGAGGCCAAATCCAGACACCCCCCCGCCCCGCCTCGGCTGTGGTCAGAAAGAATCTTAAATCTCATTCGTGGACCATTTGCTATGTGTCAGGCGCTTCATTAACTATAAGCATCATAACAATACTGCATGACAGGTATTGACAAATTAAAGGGAAAACAAACAACAGCTGAGTGACTTGCACAAGGTCTACAGGCAGTAAGTCTGTGGCAGTAAATCTAAGTCTCTTAAACTTCCAAACACCTGGCGTTTTTTCTGCATCTCTACACCACAAGATCCCTTAATGGTGTCCACCAAAACATAAAGTTACTTCCTAGATGCCATTATCCTCCACCATCCACAGGCAGCCTCTTTACAAGGTGTGTAGTACTTCCAGCTACATGAGTAACAGGTGTCCCACCCCCTTCTTGTTTGGATAGCTATAGCCCATCTCAGGTGGGAAGCTTTTCTTCCAGTCAAGAATCTTGAATGTAGCCACAGTGTCTAATACAGAACCTGGTATACAGGAGATGCTCGCCTACTGGCATAAACTATCTAGGCAAGAAAGATCTTTATAGCCCGGCGACAGGCCAGCCATACTGTTTTGTGCCCAGTTCTCTGCTCTGATGGGTCCAGACACCACACTGGGAAAGGGCAGAACTCTTACCGCCTCCAACACTGCCCGGGCTGCTTCCCGGCTGGGGAAAACCACGGAGCTGGGCAGGTCAGGCAAAACGGGGTGCAGCGGGGGCTCCTGAGTGGGCATCACCAGCGCGGAGCCCACCTCCACCTGTTGGCCGTCCTGCAGCGCCCACAGCCGCTGCCACAGCTGGCCGTGAGGGTCGGTCTCAAACTCCCCCAGGTGCGGGTGCGGGCTCTCCTCGCACGCTCGCAGCAGCTCAACCAGAGCGCGCCTGGTTTCCAGGCAGTCCCAGGGGTCGTGGAGCAGGAAGCCGTGCTGCGCGCTCCCAGGCTGGCCGCCGGGGCAGTAGGAGAGCAGCCTCCGCAGCTGGCACTGCTGGAACGGGCCGCGACGCAGCTGATGCAGCAGCCGCTGGTGCAGCTTGGCAGCCCGGACCCGGGCCCCGTAGCCGGCGTCAGGCGCCACCGGCAAGCAGAGGGAGTAATTGCGTCCCGGGGAGCCCAGAATCGCTGCCAGGCGCGGATCCCAGCGGGCTCCTTGAGGATCGCCAGGGGCGTCGGCGCGAAGAGTGAAGTGAGCCAAAGTGCAGTCGGGGAGCTCCAGGGCGAAGCAGCGGTCGGGAACCATGGTCCGCGCGCAGGCCCCACGCCGCGGGCGCAACTGCCTGGTGAGTCGCCCGAGCAGGAGCTGGGTGGGCGGGCGGCTGGCGAAGGCCATCGGGCCGCCTCCCCGCGTCCCCTCCCTCTGGCCGCGCCTCGGAAACGAAACCCGGCGATGGGCGGGGAGGAAGGCGTCGCCGAGAAACGAAAGCGAAAAGTCCAGCAGGCCGGGGGGCCCGGGGCCCCTGGCTTTGGGATGCCCGCCGCCGGCCTGGTCCTCTTCCCAGTGTGCTCTGCGCTGCCAGCGTTCGGAGAAAACTCGGTCCCCGGAGGCGCGCGATGAGGCAAGGTGAGGCGTTGGAGCCAGTCCGCGGCGCCTGTCCCCCGGGAGCTGACTCCAGGGCTGTTTCTCAGCTTTCTGGCCGGGGAGTCCCGCGTTAGCTGGGCCGAGCCTGGCAGCTTGGCACCGAGAGAGGATGTGAGCCCTCTGCCCAGCGGCAGCCTGGTTTCTGCGTTCTGGGAGGGGGCAGGTGCCCAGAGGTGGAAAGTGGCCCCCTGAACCTGGTTTTCTCTTGTCTATACCCAGTGTAGTGTCGGTGGGTGGGTGGGGGTGTGTGTGTGAAAAAGAGATTCAGGGATCCCTTTAAATTCAGGCATCTCTTGCCTGTGTCACCACCTGCAAGGTTCGCACGGGCTTACTTGTGTTTACTTACTAATTTGTAGTGAAAAGTACGCACAAGTAAAACCTTGCTTACCTCGTTTATTGGGTAGTCCAGTCCTCTTAACTCTTCATCTTCTGCATTAATTGCAAACTCCTTACTCATTGGCGTGACTTACCCTGCAGACCAGCTGACCACGTCTCTGGCTTCAGTTCTCGGCCCTCAGCACCCATCCCCCACCCCTGCCCTCAGACGCCAAAGGCAGGGGAGCTGCTTTCACTTGCCTAACCAGGCAGCGCTCACATTCACTTTGCACGTGATTTTCTCTCTTTTTGAAATTACCTTCCTCCTTCTGCTGACTTTCAAACCGGAAGGTGTCACCCAGACTGACACCTCTAAATTGCCTTTCATAAACCAAATAAAATTTTCCTGCCTTAGGGTACAACAAGACATACAGCATATGCAGCCTGTAGTATGTTAACACGTGCGAGCCCAGCAGCAGCTATATTGTTGCCTTTGTTGAGCAGTGTGTATGCAGCTATTTGGATATCGTGTATGTTTTCATTAACTGATAACTTCAAAAAAAGATTGTCACCAAAAAAAAATGGATGGTTGTCCATGAGAAAAATCTCTAACATGTATAATTGAGGCAAAGATGGAAAATATTAGATGAGCTGAAAGCAATGAACTTTTATGAGTTACTCACATTGGATTTAAACCTGAGATTATGTTAATTGTGAAAGAAAGAAAGTATTTTTAACACACAAAACGTTATCTCTACGTGGTTGAAGTATGTGTTAAGCTAGAAATAATTAGGACTTTGTGGTGTTTTTAACTCTTTGGGGATATTTTTATTTTCTAGAAGTAATTGGCTTTTGGACATTTAGCTTGCAGTGATGTTTTCAGATGTAAATCATATACAAAGTAGGACTCTTCCTATAACTCCTTTTTGTTCTTTAAGGTAGTTCTACATCCTCCCATAAGTCTTTCTTGACCCTTTTTCCATGCCATCCTGGGTTAAAAATCTGGGTTAGGAGCTTCTCCTCTGTGTTAGAGGAAGATTGTTTGTACCGTAGGACTTTTCACTCTGTGCGGTTTATCACCGCTTTTTACTGGTTTATTGCCACTGAGCACCTTGAGGGTAAGCGGGAGATCTCGCCTAGTTGTAACTTTTCCCCGATCCTCCAACACACAGCCAACCTGGCACATAGCTTGCTAACTGAACCATCGTATCTGATTTTGATCTAAGCTTCCCTGTCCATTTTCAGCAACCTCTTCCCTACAAGGAGACAGTAAAAATTCATGCCACTGCTGTATCTGAACTTAGCCAATGTTAAGTATGTGTTGAATATACAATACATTCAATCATAAAAGAAAAATCTCTTGTTGTAATTTTGAGCCCTAATTCCAAATTCCTAGGACAGAGAGGAGCCTTGGTGGCACAGTGGTTAAGAGCTCTGGCTGCTAACCGAAAGGTCAGCAGTTCGAATCCACCAGCTGCTCCTGGGAAACCCTATGAGGGTGTTCTGCTCTTTCCTATAGGGTCGCTATGACAGTCGGAATTGACTTGACGGCAGCGGGTAGGACAGAGAAGCTGATGGTGCCAGTTTCGGTGGATATTTAATTTGAATAAACCTGCCTGTAGTATCCCAGCCAAAGATATTTCACACATGTTCCTGTAGTTCTCTGCTAGAGATAAAGCCCTGTTGTGCAACCCCAGATAGCAAAAAACTCAAAGGCCTGTGCCTGAGCTCTCTGGACTCTGAAGAGAAGCTGGGGACTGGACAGACATTTCAAAGTAGTGCAACACAGCATTATTTATAAGAAAAGCCATGGTCTTCAATACTTACAGTATCAAGCAAGAGAAAAATGCAACTATTCTATTCATTCTGCTCATAGGGGGAAAAAAAAAGAGGAGGAGAATTAACAAATATAAATGCAATAATTGAATAATAAAGTAGAAAAAAATACTAATTTTAAAAAGGTCTTGGCTTTAGAAAACCTATTTAAATACATATACTTCTAGGTAGCCTGTTCATGTGGGAAAAAGAAAAAGAAAATGCAGAGCAGAATATAGGGAATAAGAGACAGGATAAAAACAGATATAAATGTCACAAAAAGAGATGATATTACATACAATTCTACATTAATCAATTTGAATATCACAAAATAAATTGAGCTGGGAAAAAAATTGACAAATTATATCCAAGAAATAGTGATGATTCTAGAACCAAAATCCCAGGAAACAAGTTGATGACGGGGCTCAAAGCACAAGACAGGTTTTATAAGGAACTTCTTTATCAAGGAATAGATCAGTCCTGTACTATATGAGCCTTTTGAGTTATTTATTTGTTTTTTATAAAAGTTCTTTTGGGGACATTTGTGAGTTTCAAATTCTTGTCAAGTACCATCAAGTCTATTCTGACTCACAGTGACCCAGTATGACAGTAGAACTGCCCCATAAGGTTTTCTAGGCTGTAATCTATGAGACTAATGGAAGGGTATTTTATTTTGGAGTTGATTTTCTCATTAAGAAATACAGTTTATATGGCAGCCTGTGAGGAATAAGTTAATACAGCAAATCCAGTTGCTCAGTCCTTGCAGATCTCCAAGGGAGCCTGCAACTGTGTCTGACCCTTGGCCAATCCCTGGAAATACAGCCCTTGGAAGGTTCTTTATATTAATTATTGATGTGTACACCTGGAGTGATGGACCATGCTATATATATCAGCTTGCCAGAGTATTTTGCATTAACAACATTGGTGACATGCACCTGATTTCATCGCTGGGGTTCTGAGGCTT